TGGTGGCAATTAACGGTGGCCCCCCTTGTAAAATTCATAGGTGATGCTTGTTTTTTTATGTTTATTCGGTCTGTGTTGTTAATTTATTTCAACGTTCCCCTATGTTTGCTGGCAATTACTGTATATATTTCCTGGATGTGTTGAAGTAGGATGCTATCGTTTGTTTTCGTTTCTTTTCTTTTCTTGGTACCTAATACAATGTTATAGCCTCTTTTCTTTGCTGTAAAGAGAATTGTTTATTTTGTTGATCGAGATCATGCTTAAGTTGATCAATCTCTGCTGCCAGAGACAGCAAAACTTGATTAATTTGTGTGTTTTCACATTTTTAAAGTCTTATTTTTATTTTTTAATATCATGTCTTTTAATTTATCTATACAAAAATTAGAGAATAATTTATTTATACAAAAAAAAAAATTTATCTAAAATAAACTTAAATTTATGAAAAATTAAAATTTTGAATCCAAATGATTCATCTAAACTTTAAAATATTTGAATTAATTAATTAAGGTTTCAAAATTCATCGACTGCTTGAAAAATCCCATCTTCTTTGGTTACCTTTGAGTTGACAAAATTGAAAGTTCAGAGGGAAGAAACATAAGGAATAACGGGAGAAATGGTGCCTCTGATAATCTTAAACAGTCAATTGTTTGCCAAAACAAACTTATTATAATAAACAACAGAGGATTTAAGGGTAATTATAGACATTTTGCAAATAGCAGAGAACGAGAGGCAGACGCCCACTTAATTTCTCGTTACGTTCGAAAACGCGTCACTGCTTTTAACCAATCGCTCCATTCAATCGCTCCATTCTCGATTCTCCCTCCCTTTCGAAATCTTCTTGACTTTCTTTTTACTCAAATTTTTTGTAATTCAAGTAAAATATTTATTTGCATTTCGATTTCAAGATCTAATGATTTCAAACTCAATTATAAGATATATCTCTTTAGTCTTAAAGTTAAAGTTCGAACTTCAATTATAAATCGTTTAAAAAAATATATTTATCTAAATAAATAAAATATTTATAAATAATGGGTAGATACGTAACCGATGCTCACCCCTAAACGACACAATTTGTAGACACATGTGGAATTAGT